ACACACACAAACACGCACATCCACACAATATACAATTAGGGTACAAATACAATAACAACAACGCAAACAAAACAAACAAAAACATAATGAAAATAAGTGGCTGTGCATGCTAAGTACATGGATGGATGGACGGACGGCTGGATGGACCAAAGTGGCAGACGAGTGGGCCAGCCAACCAAACGAAATATGTATAATTCCAAGTAAGTGAATGACAGTGAGTGAATGGATAAATAAATGACTAAGTGAGTGAGTGAGTGACTGAACGAACGAGCCGACAAACAAGCGATTGTCTAGATGAAGCTAACCAAGTTGAGCAGCCACCATTACACGCCAACAACAACAACAACGCCAACAACAAATTGCTTGTCCATTTTGCAATTACCCTGACCAGGCGAATGAGTGAAGTTAAGTGCTGCCCAAAGAGATCTTGCAAGGGTATGCCCTTGCTTCATTGAAGAGGCAATCTGCCGAGATGACTACTACTGCCTGCCTACTTCCTTTAGCATGAATCGGTGTGTGTGTCTGTATTTTAACTTGGCCATAAATTCACGTAAATGGTGCCACAAATGAATCCCTGTTTTATGTTTCGTTGGTTGGTTTTATAAATGCCATTACTAAGGCTTGACTCAAAAGCGTCCGACAGTATTACAATAAACATTTTGCTGTAAATAATAAAAGATTATGCAAAAGCTGCTTGAGTCGAATCAGTTGTGCCCTACTATAAGTGCTATCAGGAGAAAATTGTTGATACCATCATAAATGGGGTGCATACAAGTTTAGTCACTCTGTTTGCAACACCTCCATATTTTGTTCGATCAGCATAAAATAAAAGACGGTTTGATTGCTATTGAAAATGAGCTACATCGGTCCACGTTAAAATATACAGGGTGAGATGAAAATACTGCAAAAAAGTCAAACGTCATAATTTTTACATTTATTTATTTATTTTATTTATTTATTTATTTATTTATTTATTTATTTATTTTTTTTTTTTTTTTTTTTTTTTTTTTTGAATAAAAGCATAAAATGTCGGAAATAACATCACAGCATAGAATAAGTTCAGATTTATTCACACACGCTGCTCTGCGGTATTTTGGCCTATTCTCGGCGAAGCGCTTGCTTGAGGTGATCGACAATTAAGCGATAATATTCGGCATTTATTCTGATGCCATGGTCGATTAATACCAGTTGCGCTTGAGTTCGGTGACCAACCGAAGGTGCACATTTTCAGCTGACCTCTTTGGCAAGTAAACACGAAACTGCTGGACAACGAATGTTTTCTCATCGGAGAAAACCAAATTTGGCAGTTCACCACTTTCGGCCAAGCGAAGCAACTCTTTAGCACTTCTGAGCCTATTTTCTTTCTGTTGCGGCGCAAGTTCTTGAACTTTTTAGAATTACAATGGCTTTGCCCCGAGCTCATTTTTCAATATTTACCGAATGGAGTATTGTTATATGTTCAGCTCACGAGCCAGTTTTTGGCCTCTGCGACGCTGGTTTCGATCAAGTCGCTTCTTTAATTTTGAACGCCCACTTCCTTGACATCGGGCTACGCTACCAGTATCACGATAATGAGCGATGGTATGAGACAAAGATTTATTCACATTTAAATGATGGAGTGCTCTAACGATAGCCACTTGTGGGTTTCCAGCCAAATATAAAGAAATCACACTATCACGCTTAATTTCCATATAGCGGAGCCTCCCGATATTAAGTATTTTGTCAATTTCTAGCGGAATTGTTTCAAATTCGTTATTTATTTGTTAGGTTTAATTTTTCCAGATAGAATAATAGGAAAATTTTTACCTTTTACACCAAAACGTTCTCAAAATCTTTCATTTTGAAGTTTAGCGAGGAAAATATTAGCAAACCATTGCACAATAGACATACGTCCAAATTTCATTTTCAAAAAAACCATATGTAAAGCCTAGTAGCCAAATTATCACATTTCATATCTATCCCTTCACCCAATACCAAATTTAGTAACATTTAATAAATTTTAAATTTAGTACTATTTAGTACTTTTCATAGTACAAATTTCATTATAGTACAAATTTCCAAAACCACCCCTTTATACAACCCCTTTAGTACCTCTTAGTACTTCTTGAACAACACCTCCAAATTTCAACTTTAGATACCAACAGTTATCTCAATAACAAATTTCAGGATTTCAGCTAAATTTCTTACCCAATATCAAACCTTAGTACTTTTCGAACAATTTTAGTACGCATTTACAAACCACCCTCTAAATCTCAACCTTAGATATCAGAATTATATCTCTTTCGATAACAAAATATCCCATTTAGTACCACTTAGTACTTTTCGTACAATTATAGTACACATTTCCGAATCCACATCCATATATCCAGGCTATACATTAACATCGGCCCTAATACTAAATTTCAGATTTCAAGCATTATCCGTTCACCTGTAAGTTCTGTTAGTACTTTCCCTTGTACTTGTAGTACACATTTCCAAAAACTCCTCTTTATCACAAACAGGGATCCCAATACAAAATGTAAAACTTCCATCATCATCCGTTCTCCCTAACCTAAATTGTTACCAATTTAGTACTATTTATTATCATTTCGCACACTTAGTACACATTTTCGAAACCACCTACATATACCAAACATATCTTCCAACTTTAATTCTCGTACCAAATTCAAAGTTTTTAGATCCATGCGTTCACATAATATCAAATGGTACCATTTTAAAACATTTCGTAACCTTAAAGTTCGAATTTCGAAAAATCATTGGTAAATTCTAAAAAAAAAATCTATTCTAATTCCAAACTTCGGAATTCTAATTCATTAAGTTTGTCCCATACAAAGTATTTAATTTGTAGTATTTTTATGTACTTTTCGTACTCTGTCCAAAAACCCAGTTTTATCATACGCCTAAGCACCAAGACTGACCCTCCTGCAAAATGCCAATAGTCTATCTTCAGCCGTTTCGCCTGGTCGTTGATTCTACGTCAGTCAATTATTTCATTACTTATTTATATAGATTAGGGCCAACGATCCACTGATAACAAAATAGGATCATGTATATCCCATCCGACTTTTAAGGAAAACTTGTGCAAGCTCCAAACACAATAACAATCGTAAGACACACAGCTATTTCTTGTAGGGTGACTATTAACGACAATGCATACATCATCTTACACACCGAGCCCTACCACGTACTCTTACCGCTTGGTATTAAGACAACAATTCTTCTGAACGTGTGCGTGTGGGTGTTGTTGCTATTGTTGTTGTTTGAAGCTGCTTATTACTCTCATAATGTTAAAATGCACTTCACTAATGACTAGCGAGAGATGACCTATGAAAAATCATCGGAACGATGCCACGGGCCAAGCAGCCGGGGTAATGGGAATCATGTAATGAAGATAAACAATGGAATAAATTAAATTTACACAAAATTTTCTTCAGGCCAATTTCCATCACCCGCAACGCCATCGGGAAAATCAACAACATCTGAAATGACAAAAGACAAAATCAACGACATGGCACAACATGTTTTTTTCAAAATATTTAAAATAGCAGCAGATATTGAAAATTTCTCTAATTTAATTAAATAAGGAAACTGGCTTCGTGTGTAAGCTGTATGGGGATACGGAATGGGATTGGATGATGACCCAAAATATTATGTGAATGATGTTAAGATGAAGTGCTATTCGTGTCAGTTGTTTGAAAAACAAGTAAAAAAGCAGTTAAGTTCGGCCAGACCGAACTTTTTATAAGCTAAACCATTTGGAGGTTACTTAAAAATTTTCAAAACAAAAAAATCCGTCGGAAAATACCGCTCAAATGAAACCCGTTATATGGGTGCTATACGAAGACGTGGACCTATGTAGACAATTCTCTTCTAGAGGGTAAAGTACACAGAAAGAACCTCTTGTATGGTTGTTAAGGCAACCATTGAACATTTTGCCTGGAATCATAAAAAAACAGAATATCGGAGGCTACCGCCATATGGGGGCTACACGATATCGTGGACCTTGTATATATAGGTTCCCTCCAAGGAAATAAAGTACTCACAAGGAACTCCTATTGTGGATTCTCAGAAAATTCCGTAAAAAATGTGGCTAAAATCATCAAAATACCGAATATCGGGGGTACCGTTATATGTGGGATATACGATACCGTAATATATGGGATATACGATATCATGGGCAGGGGGTAAAGTACCCAAAGAAAACTGCTTCTGTAGAATTTCAGACAAGTCCATTGAAAAATTTGGCTAAAATATCGTGGACCGATATAGCCAATCTTCGAACTTGACCTGCCTGACAGATGAAAGACTGATCTGTGCAAAATTTTAGCTTCAGGACAGTGCTAAATCGTCTTAGAATTTTACGCTGATCAAGAATATGTATACTTATAAGGAATGACTACTTTATATACCCTCCATACTACGTATGGTGGAGTTTAGAAACTCCACCGGAGTTGTCCGTCTTTCTGTTGTAATCACCATATTTTGCAAACGAATTGACATAGAAGTCTAACATTTTGCGCACTCGTGTATTCTACCAATAGACAAGTTAAGTTCGTAAATGGGTCATGTCGGTGCACGTTTTGGTATAGCCCCCCACAACGATTCCTCTCCATACTCGATATTTTCATGATTTTAGCGACATTATTCACCAAATTTCGTATTTAAAGTCAGTAATAGTCTGTGACAAAATGTTACTTATGCAGGTCCATATCTTCGTATAAACCCCCCCCCCATATAACGGTTTTCATTTAAGCGGTATTTTTCGAAATTTTTTGAACAGTTTCAAGTTCCTTCTAAATTGTGGTGGGTTTAAAAAATTAGTTCCACCCGAATTAGCTACTGTTTTACATATTTTCCTTCATTGTGGTTAAATAAAAATGACCTCCTTCGTTATTTTCTCTTCTCGGTAGATATTATATAACCATTATATTAACAAAATTTGAATGTAACCATTCCGAATAGTTATTTATTTAATCATTGTTCATTCACTTCTATTACAGATTGCTACAGAATCGTCATCATCCACGCAAATTGCCACTGTATCCCACCTGGTAGCTTTAGCTAATCAACAACGCAATGCCTCAGCGAAAACTCAACAGCAACAACAAACGTCATCATCATTATCCGCGTCAAGCAAATGTCTAACACAACCGGTGACAGTGGTGGAAAATCCGCTGGAGCCACTTAAAACGACAGCCTCAACACCTACAGATGCCGTGAATGTTGCGACAGTGTCGGCCAATGGCATGTCCTCAACTGTGGTCCACAACAATAGCCATCATCAGCAAGTTCATGCCACCGAAGTGCTGGCGGATCCACAGTTGCAACAACAATTGGAACAAGTACAACAGCAAACACAAAACGAAGTTCCAACCTCGGTTCAAGCAACGGTTGCGGCTGCCATTCAATCAGCGGGGACAGCGACGACAGCCGCCGCAACAACAACTGCAACATCAGCCACAACGGCTAATAAAACGATGGTGGGGGGAGGTGGTGGTGCTGGCACCAGTGCCTCCAATGCCACAACCATCACCTCCATATCAGCCTTATCACCGCAAACACCAAACGCCGCCACACCATCTGGGCCCGTGGCACCACATACCTCGCATACAACACCGGCTTCCGTCTCAGCTTCCAGTCAACAGGTGACACCCATACCACGACCCAAAAACCCCCAACAACAATTGTCCAGCATAGCCAATCCCATGCATAAGGTCACCAAACGGAAAGAAACTCTTGAAGCGAAACGAGAACGCAAAGCCGCCAAAACGTTGGCCATCATAACGGGTGCCTTTGTCGTCTGTTGGCTGCCGTTCTTTGTGATGGCCCTGCTGCTGCCGCTGTGCGAAGCCTGTGAAATAAACGATGGCATAGCTTCGCTGTTCCTTTGGCTGGGCTATTTTAATTCGACGCTGAATCCCGTCATCTACACAATCTTTAGTCCGGAATTTCGGCAGGCCTTTAAGCGAATCCTGTTTGGTGGCCACAGACCGGTTCATTATCGCAGCGGTAAATTATAAGAATAGATGGCGCAGCAAACCAGCCAGTTAAAGGTATGTATGGCGAAGGTGTCTTAATATGTAATAAGGACGTTTATATTTGTAAGAGGTTTTTGTATTTTGAAAAAAATTATACTGTCTAGTTGAGATAAGTCGGAAAAAAGTTAATAAAAGTTTTGTGAGTCCTGCACAATACTGAGATAAGGGATACTTAGAAGTAAACTGAAATTCTACAAAAGATTTTTTATATGGGTATATATTTAGGCACAATTTATCATGGTTTTAAATCCTCATGGTTTAAATAGTAAAACATTTTGTAAAAACATAATTTACTTTTGAGAAATCAGAACATCTTCAGTCTTATTCCAATTGGCAGGCAAACTATTGGAGAAAACCACATAGAATGCAATCGCTACGTAGTGTTCGCCACATTTTCCAACTCAAAGAGATCTGCACTTCTAAAGAACATACACATATTTCCGATACCACCTTCATGTGTCCAGAGTTCACATGAACAGCGACCCTAATACCAAATTTCGGATTTCCAGCATTATATCTTCATCCAGTATCATTTGTTCTATTCGTGTAGTTGTAGTACACATTTCCAAAAACCACCTCTTTGTCATAAACCTACCTCCAACAGGGATCCCAATACAAAATTTTAAAATGTCAGCTTCATTCGCTAAACCAAACTGTTCCAAATGCGCTCACTTACTACACATTTCCACAAACCACCCCCATAAAAACCCTTCTTGCCAACCTTGGTTCTTATTGGTTCTTATATCAAATGTACCATTTTTGAAGTTTAGTACCATTTTAGAACTTTTCGTAAACTTAAAGTATGAATTTCCAAAAACACCTTTGGTACATCTATTCTGCAATCCATCAGTGACTATCATTACACCTTTAATTCCGCTTGTCCAATACCAAGTATTTAATTATATTCTCAGTCATATGGCTAGAGAGGCTATGTATCACTGAATACGGCCAAAACGTACCTAATCGAAATTAAAGGTTTTAGACCTTAGGTCTCTTTGGACCAAATCCGTTTCAGGACATTTGGAGACGATCTAGCGATGTTCGTCGTCTGTCTGTCTGTCGCACCTGTCAGCACGATATCTCTCGAAGGGAGTATCCGATTTGATCCAAACCTGGTATATCGTAATATTATTGTCAAATTTAGATCGAGTTCGGAGACGGACAATATCAGTCCAGTCCTTTTGGTATCTTCTCCACAAAATGTCAAAATTCTCAAGAAAAAAATAATTTACTGCACAGAAAGAAAAAGGATAATCCGATTTTGCTTCAACGAAATTAACATCCGATTCCATTTAGACTGGCACATCTCAATATTTCCATCAACACAAGATCTGTTATAAAGATGGTAGAGATCGGACCATTACTTCTGGATCGGACCATTCCACACAAGGGGTCAAAGCTTTGAATAACCACAACGATCATAAAATCCGAAAAAAAACATCCGGTTCTCTATATATTTTACGCATCTCAACATTTTCGGTAACACAAAATCTGTTATGAAGATGGTAGAGATCGGACCATTACTTCTGGTACCTCCCCCACAAAGGGGAATAAGCATCTGGTTCTGTTCACCCCAGTATTTATACTAACACAAGATATGCTGTGAAGATGGGATATATCAGTCCACTCCTTCTGGTGCATCCTCCTCATAGGGTTCAAGATTTTGAAAAAAAAAACGCTCAAAGAAAGCGAAATAAGCATCCCACTCTCTTTACATACAAACATTTTTGCAAACACAAGGTCGGAAGATGGTATACACCTACGAACCCCTTCTGGAACCTCATCCAAAACAACGGTCACAATTTTCAATGCTTTTTTCTATCATAACTCGCGAAACAAATCAGCGATTCTTCACAACTTGCTACATCTAAATATTTCTCTGAACCAGAAACCTGAGATGAATATGGAGTTTATGATTTCGCATAAAATTTGATATAAATATTCGATTTTCTAGTAATTTGGGCCATACAAATAATTTTATCTGTGTTAGATGAAATATGAAAATGTATTAATTCGGTCGACTATATTTGGCACCTCACGCACATTTTAACATTTTCAAAAGTTATGATCACATATCTCATATAAAGTGAAGGAAGTAGTCGATATAGTCCAAACCTGGCATATTTATTTAGGTCCGACACGGAAAGAACAATATTGGCCCATACCTTCGGAACCTACTCAATAGAGGGTCAACAATTTGAATAATAATTACAGAAGTCAAAATATATTTAAATACTAGAACATTGGCTGATACTTTACATTGGATATATGAGTCTTTCCAACTTCGTTCGTATCGCGTTTCAGTCCAATGGCACTCGTTAGAAAAAAGTCCTACAGAGGCAAATTTTGCAGAGATAGAAGAATTGCATCAATTTTTATTACAGCTAGATAAGTCAGTGCCTTCATAGAGGAAAGGGGAATACTTCACCACGCATAAACTTCGAACACTAAACTTGATGTTCGACTCTCCTCAGGCTGCCTCAACTGATGAATTGACTAAATTTGGCGCCTTTGAATTACATGAATGAATAAGCTAAACATCCGAATTCAATTTTTGCTTAATGAAAAATTGGAAATTATTGTGAAACTAAATATTTTTTGAGTTTTGCCTTATTAAGGCGAAGATCATATGTTTTATGATTTATGTGTTTGATTTCTCTTTCGAGACGAGCTTAATGATCTGAAATTTGCAGTGAAAAGGAAAGCCAGATAGACACTATCACACACTCACCACTATGCGACGCGTTTCGCCGTTGGTTAAGCGGCTCATCAGGCATATTTTGATGTGGATGATGGCTTACAAGGGCCGTTCTCTGGAAAGCAGTATATATTTCGAACTTATTGCAAATTAGCATATGCGAATTATACACTAGAAACTCTCCAGGTTCGACTCAAGTTCTATTGGCAGATCTTTTTCACAGCAACGTTTTGTTTTTTTTTTTTTTTTTTTTTTTTTTTTTTGTAGTGATGGATTTTTTGTCCACAACAACTACATTGCTTCCAATGCATACACTTGTTTTAGTGCTGCTTTTTTGTCCTAAACATCTCGTATACATACAAGGTGACATGAAAAAACTGCAACCAACTTCAGACTGATGTCATTTCTAAGCCACTCGTCCGAAAGCTATTAAAATTATTCCAGTGACGGCTAATTATATTGTTTACAAGCGTACAAAAGCATTTTGGTGAGAATTTTCCAGAAAAAAAGTTATGCGTGGTGGAATTCAAGCGTGATGTGATTTCTTTATATTTGGCTAGAAAACCACAAGTGGCTATCGTTGAACACTCCAGCATTTAAATATGAATAAATCGTTTGGGTCTCGTACCATCGCTCGTTACCGTAATACTGGTAGCATAGTCCGACGTCAAGGAAGTGGACGGAAGTAAACAGCAACATCAGCAGAAATGGTTCGAAAAGTAAAGAAGCGACTTAATCGAAACCCTCGTCGCAGTGGCCGAAAAATGACTAGTGAGCTGAACATATCGCAATATTCCATTCGGCAAATATTGAAAAATGAGCTCGGGGTAAAACCATTGAAATTCCAAAAATTGCAAGAACTTACACCACAACAGAAAGAAAATAGACTCAAAAGAGTTGTTTCGCGTGACCGAAAGTGGTGAACTGCAGAATTTGGATTTGTCCGATCAGAAAACATTCGTTGCCTTGTAGTTTGTAAACAAACAAAATGATCGTGTTTGACCAAAGAGGTCAGCTTAAAATGTGCACCTGCGGTTGGCCACCAGAAATCAAGCGCCGGACATGGTGCTGGTGTGGGCGTAGCATCCGAATAAATGATGAATATTATCGCGAAAATAGTCTGGAGGGTGTGTTAAAGACTTGGGCACGCAAACATTTTGGCCTCAAACCTTGGACATTCCCACAGGACTCAGCACGCGCCACCCAAGAATGGTTACAAAATAAGGTTCCTCGCTTCATTTCCAGCGCACAATGGCCGCCAAAATCTTCGGATACCAATCCGTTGGACTATTGTGTTTGGAGTATTTTGGAAAGCAAGGTACTAAAAAATAACAAAGTGTCGATCACCTCAAGCAAGCGCTTCGCCGGGAATGGACCAAAATACCGCAGAGCAACATTCGAGCAGCGCTTGATGGTTTCATTGGCCGTTTGAAGACCATAATTCGTGCCAAAGGTGACCAATTCGAAAAAATCTAATCCTATTCTAAAATTTGATGCTATTTCCGACATTTTTTGATTTTATTCAATAAAATTTAAAACTAAAATGTAAAAATTATGGCGTATGACTTTTTTACGCATCTTCAAAAACACGGAGCAAAACATTGAGTGTGACTTCAGCTGTGTGGCACGTTGATCCGTCCTATTGAAATTAAATGCTGCCAATATTCTCCTCTTCAATTTGTGTGAACAAAAATTCTTTCAACATGGCCGGATAACTCCTTGCTCATTTTCAAAAAAAAATGGCCCTATTATCTCTCTAAACCAAATTCCGCAGCAAACAATGACTAGTTTTGGGTACATTGGCTTTTCTGTGTCCCAAATGCGACAATTTTGCTTATTTACATAGGGAGCTGGCGGTGATTCTCTTCTTTCAAAATCCGTATGCAATTTTCGTACACATTCTGCAACATTACCGAGATTTTCAAAGTAATGTCGTAATATTTTCCAGCACTGTTCAAGTGCAAAAAAAGCCATATTTGGCCAGCGGAAAGACAAAAGTAATTATCTATTCAATTCGAGAAATAAGCAGGTACAATTGTGAGTCTGGGCGCGTAGACGAACAGGGAACAAAATGTTAAATTTACGGTGCAGCTTATCAAACTACACCATGGCTAAGATCGCCACCCAAAACATTTAAAAAACCTTGATGTTCGACTCAACTCAATTCAACACCATATACCCAAACTAGGTGTCTTTGTATTATTTCGACGAAAATAGCCAGAAATAAATATCCATTTTTTTAACAGAGCGGAAAATGCTTTAAAAAATGTGGCAATTATTGAGCAATTCCTGTCCTAACATATCGTATACATACATA